AATCGAAGGTGAGTGATGTACTCGCCATTGATGTCAATACCGTATCCTTTCCAGTCCAGTAGCTTGAAAACGTCTTCCAATGCAGCGGTGAAGAGTTTCGGGGATATAACGTCACCCTGTCTTACACCTCTCTGCAGTTGGATAGGTTTCGAGCTCTGGTTCTGTACTCGGATAGCCATCGTAGCCCTACTGTACAAACACTTCAGCACTTCGATATACCGACAGTCAACTTGGCACCGCTGAAGGGACTGTAGCACCGCCCAAATTTCGACGGAATCAAAGGCTTTCTCATAGTCCACATACGCCAGGCAAAGTGGCAGATTGTACTCTTCAGTCTTCTGTACAATCTGCCGCAGGGTATGTATGTGGTCTATGGTACTGAAGCCTTTTCGGAAAACGGCTTGTTCGGGAGGCTGGAAGTCGTCAAGTCTGCGTGCGAGACGATTCGTAATGACTCTCGAAAACAGCACGTAGACGCGGCTCTGAAGGGAAATCGGTCTGTAGTTCTTTAAGAGAGCCTTGTCGCCTTTCTTAAAGAACAAGACCACCGCACTTCTGCTCCACGCCTCTGGAGTAGTGCCACCATGGAGGACGGAATTGAAGAGCTTCTGAAGGACTTCAAGTACCGGTGTTCCACCCGCTTTCAGAAGCTCCGCTGTAATTCCATCCTCGCCTGGGGCCCTGCCGTTTTTAAGGTGCTGGAGAGCCATTCTAATCTCGCTTAGACTGACGTCCGGGATATCATCGGAATAGTGTCGGATAAGACTTGCTCTTGGATCGTTACTCACACTTGCGTGTGGCTCCAACGATGATGTGTACAGCTGCCCATAGAACCTCTCAATCTCACTCAAAATCTCAGGTGTCCCGGAAACGATATTGCCACACTCAGTCTTCAGCCTTGACAGTTGGCTCTTTCTGGCAGACAGATCTCTGGCAAAGACTTTGGAGCCCTGGTTCCGCTCGATCGCTTCTTTAATACGAGAAGTATTAAAGTTGCGTAAGTCTCGCCGTATGCATTTGGAGATCTGTCTGTTCAGTTGCCTGTATGCTGTCAAATCTGTTGACGATTGCAGCCTCATCTCCCGTCTAACAGCCATGAGATTAAGAGTGTGATCGGAGAGTTTTTGTGTTCTTCTGCGGCGGGTCTTGCAGAACTTAGCTCCGACCGCATGGACAGTTTCCACGAGCTTGTCGTTCATATCGTCCACTGCATTGCAATCTTCTAGGCACTGGAAGCGGTTACATAACTCGAGCTGAAAGGTTTCGGGATTCTGGATTAGAGCACGAGGGGGACGGAGCGTTGACTTCATTAGACGAGACCTCTCCAACTTAACGTTTAGGTTCAGTGTGCCTCTAACCATTCGGTGATCGCTGCCAGTTTTCACCCTTGCGATCACTGAGACATCACTGAACAGTTGGCGTCTGGTCGTCATAATGAAGTCAATCTCATTTTTTGTCGAACCGTCGGGGCTCGACCAGGTCCACTTCCTGTGGGGCCGCTTCTGGAAGAAAAAGTTCATCATAAAGAGTCCCTCTTTCTCCATAAAGTCGGCCAGCTGCTGGCCCCTTCGGTTCCGTTGCCCTACTCCAAATTTCCCTACCTTCAGCTCACCGCTTTCTCTTGTGCCCAGTTTTGCGTTGAAGTCTCCCATCAACACCGTGTAGTAGGTTTTGGAGGAATGTATGGCTCTGGAAATATCCTCATACATTTCCTCCACCTCCTCATCGGGATGTGCCGAGGTTGGTGCGTAAACCTGAATGACCTTCAGCGAATACCGTTTGGTGATTCTGAGTATCAGGTACGCGACCCTCGTCGACACACTCCCAATCTTTACAACGTTGTTGACGAGAGATTTGTGGACGATAAATCCGACACCTCCTTGGGACAGATGGTCGCCCTCCCGGTGATAGAACAAGTTGCCGGACTCGAGGATTGCCGTGTCCTCCCCCTCTCTTCGGACCTCGGATAATCCAATAATATGCCAGCGCAACTTGTCTACCTCTTCTTCCAGCTCCAGTATCTTCTCGTCAGTCCTCAGGGTGCGTGCGTTATATGTTGCCAGGTCGAGTCGTGTGTGAGTCATTGGGGGGTATTTGCCATAGTTGCCACGCTTGGCGAGCGGGTTGGCAACCGCAGTTTTTTATTACGTCACAGTTGTCATCAGGAAGACGCTGCTGCCCATCTCCTGCCTGTCTCCCTCTGTCGCCTCTTACGACACCCACGGGAAGATATGGGGTAGTGGATATTCTTAACCGCCACTACACGGCACCACCACCACCACCACGGAGATAGTTCTGACGAATTGTTCGGATTGATTCCAGCCACCAAATTTCAGGGAAGTTAAAAAAAGTTTAGAAAGCTAGAGCTGTGAAGTTCATTGAAGTTACGGATCGTTTGAAGAAGAAGAGATTTATTCCGAATGGAAGTAAAAATACAGCAAGTGCGTGATTTTATCATTATGTTATGTATTTGGAAAAATGCTAAATAAAATTAGTGGCTAAATGCATAATCGATTTATATGGAAAAATGAAATACAAGCAAATGAATACATTGAAAACATTTTTGATCCCCCGATGTTACTTATCATCATTGTGGCATATTTTATAACACATATTATTCTCTAAGCTAGGCTTTCTTTGCGAGTTAAAGTGATAAACTGGGCTTAGTTAAAATTTATTTTTTAATTTTACGCCTGCCTTTAAATTACCACATTTATAGTTCATAAAAGATAGCTTGATCATACTTTATCATACTTTATGGGCATGCCGACCTAATTGTAGTATGACATTGACAGGTACTGTCTGTACTACTAAGAAATTCAGGACTTCATAGGCGTGATTTTTACTGACAGCTGTCGCAGAGATCAAGCTATCTTTTATGAACTATAGTAACTAATTTTTTAATTAAAAAAGTAATTATTAGTCATTGGTGGACCGGTAGGGTTGCTAATTTTCAATCCGGGGCGAAAAAAATCGTGACGCTACTGATTCCTGGGTTCGAATCCGGAAAACGAATGGTTACTAAATGGTTAGGTAGGAACCACAAATGGTTGAACCATAGGGTCCCGGGTTCGATTCCGGGAATAACGACTCCGAGATTTGTATGCGAGATTAACAATAGGTGGACTGTATGTGCGTAGTTAGATATAATCAAAACAACATGGCGTACGTGGCACGTGGCCAGTTTTTGGATGATACATTTTGCTAGGACCTAATTTACTATATCAACCGGCAGGGGCAGGAGCATGAGCTGCTATGAGGAATTAACAACAAATGAGAACAGCACAAGATGGGAAAGTGCACTTGCTTGGGCGTTGATCTTCTGATTACCTCCTACTCAGGCCTCGAGGTTGATAGCGCTACGTTGTAGCTGCGGTCATGCGAGACGACAAATTATTCGTACTAGTGCACGAAGATAAATGCACCTGCACTAGCGGTGGCTACTAAGTTGTTCTGTGGCCGACTGTCACAGAGGTGCTATCATATCTAATATCAAACTCCAAGTCGACAACTCTGATCGAGGACAACCTTTTTATTGGTTGCGTGAAATGACGCCACCAATCTAGCCTTCTACTGGACATGCCCGTGCAGGAAGCAAGCGGAAGTTAAGAGGAAAGAAATACTGCCAGCTAATGTATTCAAGTAAATGTGCATTTTGGCGCAACCAGTCATCTCAAACACAAAACTAAAACAAAACCTCCGTGAAGTTTTGTTAAAAATTTCATTAATTTTTATGGGAATAATAGAAAATCGTAAGGTATCTGATGTCACTCAAGCATGTCGACCATCTGCCTCAGCTAGCTGACGTCAACGGATCGTTATTTAATGGGATTGATTCCTTGGGGCTCGTAACAAAAAATCAGCCCACTCACATTAATTAACTGAAAACTTTACGCACTGAAACAACTGCTTTCCTTTGCTAACTTGTTTTACAAGAAAATTAAAACTAACGTTTTGATTGTCTTGTTTTGTTTCGATAGTAGCAATGTCATATGTCGTATCTAGGTTTTCGTAAGAGATATTTTCCTCCTTCACTAGCCCGTAAAAGTCTACTACTGATCATGGACCACTTCTTTTGGAGAGTGGATTTGATCACATTACTTGTCTTTCACCGCTAACTAACTATCTAAATTTACGGTTCGTTTTTATAGAATAACCTCTTTTATATAGTTACCACCCCTAAAGACTAAGACAGATTCTTCGAATTTAGTTTATTAGTAAGATGGGATTGGCTTCAGGTTTTTCACACTTACGAGTACCATATGGATCACAGCAGGAAGTTGCTATTTCGCGTTGGATTTTTATGAGAGTGTGGTTTTACCCTGTCAGAGGCAAACCATTAAAACTGCTACGATTAACATAACTTTAGCGTTTTAAGCACCACCAGTTAACCACTTTTAGGTGCAGCACTCACCTTATTTTATTTATTTATTTAATAATAATAAAGGCGTAGGGAAGTGACGACCCCATCGCCCGCTGACGTAACGGTTATGTGACAAAACCGCTACGTCAGCGCAGTCAGTCAGCACCTTGCCAAGAGGTGTTAGTGCCGTGCCTCGGCAAAAATTGAAGGTGCAAAGGCCCGCTTGTGCACATGGCCTCACCATGAAACGGCGCCGGGTCTGGGCGTCTCCCGCTAAACGACGCCCTAAAAATGGATGATGGAATTAAATAGAACGCGCAAAGGGCAATACCAGGACAAATGTTAGTTTGTCCCAGCCGGATATAATGCAAAAACTGACAGAGCGCATAGACGACCTGAAGCCAAGAATCGCTGCTTGGGGAAAGCGGATTCGGCGATATACCGAGAGGTCGACACGGTTCAACCAGAATCGTCTCTTCCAGAGTGATCAGAAAAGGCTCTATAAATCATTGGAGCGACCAATAGTAAGTGGAACGGGCCCAGCACCAAATCAGGCCAACACGGTCGCATTCTGGCGCAGCCTGTGGTCAGAGCCCGTAAACCACAACGAGGGCCCTTGGACAGAAGTTGTGGCGAGTCAGTGTGCGGGTATTCGCCCATGGACCCCGTCATCATAACGCCGGATGACGTAGCTGAGGCCGTCCGTAGGAAAAGTCCGGGGCTTGACGGGCTGCATCACTACTGGCTGAAGCGGTTCATGGTGTGTCACGCTGTGCTCGCCCGACAGTTTCAAGAGGCTCTCAACCAGAAGTCGCTCCCAAGCTTCTTCACTACTGGGATCACTCATTTGGTTCCTAAAGCCTGATCTTTAGGAACCAAATGAGTGATCCCAGTACGTGGACAGCCACGGACCCGAGCAAATATCGCCCCATCACGTGTCTACCGACTATATACAAGACACTAACATCCATTTTGAGTGCGAGAATCACTCATCACCTGGACTCAAATCAGATGATGTCGCGCGCTCAAAATGGATGTCGGGGTGGCGGTCGTGGAACCAAGGAACCACTTCTCATTGACGCGGTCATTGGCAAAGTGGTGAAACGCAACCGTCGGAACTTCTCCGCCGCCTGGATAGATTACAGAAAGGCATTTGACACGGTGCCCCATACATGGCTAAAGAGGGTCCTCGAGCTGTACAAGATTGACTGTACAGTTCGAGACTTCCTCGAGCAGTGTATGGGGCAGTGGAGTACGATTCTCTGTCATCTAGGCGAGCGGATGACGGCTGCGGAAAGCCGCATAAGGATAATAAGCGGTGTCTTTCAGGGCGACTGTCTGAATCCAATCAGATTCTGCCTCTCTTTGAAACCTCTCAGTACTTTACTGGAGGGCTCCGGGAGGGGATTTCAGCTTCGGAAAGGAGGTACAAAAGTGACCCACCTTTTCTATATGGATGACCTCAAATTATTCGCCTCCAGTCGCTCCCATCTTGTGGAATTGCTAAACTTCACTTGTGAATTTAGCAATTCTATTGGAATGGAGCTGGGGACGGATAAGTGTGCGGTCCACCATGTTGAAAGGGGAAGGGTTGCTAACTCTGAGGGCATAGACTATCTATGCCCGTCAACTTAAGAACCCTTTCCGAGGCTGAAACATACCGATACCTGGGTATGTCACAGAACATCGGTATCGATGAGGCTGGTATGAAACAGTCAGTTTGCATCTTTTTTTTTTGCGCGCTTGACCAAAGTGCTTAACAGCCTTTTGTCCGGTGTGAATAAGACACATGCATATAACGGTTGGGTCATGCCTGTCCTCATGTATACCTTTGGCATACTCAGGTGGAGTCAGACTGAACTTAACGCCCTGGATAGAAAAGTCCGCACTACAATGACGTCCCATAGAATGCATCACCCGAGATCGTCGGTAATGAGGCTGTGCTTGCCACGAAAGCATGGTGGGCGTGGCTTCCTGAGCGCGCTCACCATGCATAATCACGTTGTGTGCAGCCTCCGTCATTACTTCCAGCGAGATCGGATGATCCATTCTATAATGACGTTATTTCTAGTGATGAAGGACTTACCCCTCTATCCTTAGCCAACGAGCAATGGCAAGACCCGGCAGTACAGAGCATTTCCGACCGGGAGACCGTATGGAAGGAGAAGGAGCTCTACGGGAGGTACTACAGGGTTCTACATGAGCCTCACGTAGATACAGCCGCCTCCCTTAACTGGCTACGTTTCGGTGACCTCTTCGGGGAAACCGAGGGTTTTGTCTGTGCAATACAGGATCAGGTTATTAGGACTAACAACTATCGGAGATACATCCTAAAGGATGGCACTGTCGACGTCTGTCGAGCTTGTCGCCATCCCGGGGGAGTCACTTAGGCATGTCATTTCCGGTTGTTCAGCGCTTACTAACTCTGAGTTCTTGCACAGACACAACCTAGTAGCCAGAATTCTACACCAGGAGCTCGCTCTGAAATACGGTCTCGTGGACCGAAAATTGCCGTATTACAAGTACTTGCCGGAAGCCGTGCTCGAAAATGACCGCGCCAGGCTCTACTGGGACCGGGCCATCGTCACAGACAGGACTATTCGTGCGTATAAGCCTGATATTGTGCTGATGGACCGGGCACAGTCAACGATATTTTTGATCGACATTACCATTCCGTATGAAGAGAACCTCGTGAAAGCCGAAACAGATAAACGAACAAAATATCTGGACCTGGCTCACGAGGTGACCGACATTTGGGGTGGTATGCCGACCGAAATTATTCCTGTAGTCGTCTCTGCGAATGGGCTAATCCCAGTCAGCCTCTCGGGTCATCTGAGGCGACTGGGACTCTGTGACGGACCGCTCCGGGCTCAAATGCAGAAGGCGGTGCTCCTCGATACCGCCCGCATCGTCCGCCGGTTTTTTCCCTTTCCCCCTAACCCTCGGCCGTTTGGTCTCCCCTGCCGAGGGCTCCCATCTGGTTGGATCTTATTTATTTATGTAGTTTTTGTATTTATTTTAATTTATTGATATTTATGTATATTTATCTTTTCATTTTAATTTATAATTATATATTTACAGAACCCAACCAGGTGAGAAAATTATATAGATACCCTAATTATAATAATAATATTTCCTTTAGCAAACGTACTCTCTCCTGTATCAAGCAGTAATAAAGGCTGATGACCGTCTAACAACGCTCGATCGCCTTCATGCCGACAATTTCCAATCGTTAGAGACTGACGCTGAATACAAAGAAGCCAAACTCCAGCAATGGACCTCAAAACCTCTTCACGGTCGATTCGCTAATGAACTGAGTCAACCACATATCGACATTGAAGCGTCGAAAAACTGGCTCAGACATTGTGAGAACTTTGTTGAAACTGAGGGATTCATTGTGGCGATTCAGGATCAGGTTGTGCCTACGAAAAATTATCTTAAGTACATTGTCAAGACAGGAATCGAAGATGACGGTGTTATCAAAAGCCAGAGACCATCCAGCACATAACTGGCGGCTGCCAGGCTCTTGCTGGAACCGAGTACACGCAGCGCCATGGCAACGTGGCAAAAATTAAACACGATCCCTTAAGGAGACAGAACCGTACTGGAAATACAATCCATCCCAGGAACTCGAGAATGATTCGGCACAACTTTATTGGGACAGGTCAGTTTTAACTGACCGGACCATTGAGCATAATCGACCGGACATAATATTAGTAGAAAAGGAGGAGAAGCGGACGTGGTTGTTGGATATTGGCATTCCAAACTCGCATAATGTGCAGAAGTACAGCACTGAAAAGTTGATCCAGTACCAGCAGTTGGCTGAAGAAATCCGACAGTTAAGGTGACAGCAGCAGGTACTTATCATGCCGCTGATTTTCTCTACCACGGGAGTTGTTCCTAAATCCCTTGCTGACAATTTAGCTAACCTGGGCATCTCAGTGAGGGTGAGGAACAAAATTCAAAAAGCCTTAATTTTGGATACGACAGAGATAGTACGTCGCTACCTCACAATTTAAACAAAAGAGCGGGATCTTGCGATCAGACGATGTCGCGTGTTAAAACCCTAAAAGGTGCGTTAATGGAGTTAAATAATAATAAAATAATTGAAAACGAGAAAACTGAGAATAATATTTTGGGCTCACGTTCAGATACAAGAGACACCATTCATATGACGGCGGGTAATTAAAATCTCGACCTTTTTAGCCTTCGTCAGTCATCTCCGCCCTCTTCCTTATTCGAAACTCAATCAATTACCTTAACATCCAATTCTGCAACACAAACTCTAGCAATGAGCTGCACGGCTTAAAATAGTATTTTAAGTGTTTCACACCCAGTTGAAATCAATCTCCCAGATGATGGTTTAGTACAGAAGTTAACCAACGAACTGAAGACTAATCTAGCATTGTATACTGGTACGGACCCCAACATAAGACCCAAACTGCTGCGATTGAAAGAAAATAATCAGCTATATAGTTTACTTAACATTTTCAATGGTCATAATATATTACCCAAATTCTGTAGTATTGATTCTGAGTTACTACATATTCATACCCTCATATATTGCTCAGCTTTAGTTATCTCAAAACCATTAGGATATAAAATTTCAAACGGCCCCTTAAAAAAGCGAAATTCATTTAACAATAAACCGGCTTGGCAAATAAGATTAGAAATAGATATATCTATCCTGCGCGCTGATGTGGTTGGATTAATACTGGTTGCGCGGAAAACGATTCGTATTTTAATTTTATTCGAGGGTATGCTTGCCAAGCGTTTATCCTTTCCTTGATCTATCGTTACTCCGTAAATACCGGGAGGGGGGGGGTGAGAGGGGAAAGAAGAGATTCTAGAATGTTGCGTGATTTTTGCAACCAATGAGAAGCGCGCCCGACCGAGATGCATTGATAGGAGGGCCGAAGCAATATAAGCTCGCGCGCTGCCCTCGAGTACTCTCTTGCCTTCGCGCTGCTAGTCTAAACCGCACATGGAGCAGTCGAGCTCCAGAAGTAACCGCCTCACATAGTGTGAGATATCGTCGCGCATCGCTCTCTTCCATCGCACCACCGACCAGGACCGCATCCCTGAGGTGCCCCAGGAGACCCACCAGAAGTCGCACCACAGCAACGGAAGCGCCTAAGCCGCATCGAAGTCACACCCCGGTAAGTGTGTTTTCCTATAATTCAATGCCTGCTTGAGTATTTGTTTGTTAGCTAACCCGCCCCATTTCACTTCTACTAATGTGCTCAAGCAGGACTCCTTCATAACCTTGGCAAACAATAGGTTTCGGAAGAGCTAGTGCATTGTCAAGTAACCGCGTGCCACATCCGCCATCTTGTTGAGGCTGAAGAAGCTTACCGCGTATACAGTCCATCTAGTATAACATCTCGCGTAATAGGGTCAAGGCTTGAACGGGGAATCGGACTCGGGAACCCTAAGGCCCGCCGCCCATCCATTTATATGGTCATTCAAGCGGATTTGGAACTGGTGCTTTGTAGCCTCATCGAGTCGAACTGCTGGATTAATTCCTTAGACAATGCACTCTAATTTAATATTGGATAGATTTATGTAGTTTTGTTTAGTTTAAATTTAAAATTTGTTAGTTATTCGCATAAGTAAATCGACTTATTTATTCAAATAGTTTGGATTTGCTTAATCTTATTTAGCATAACCACCATTTGTAAAAAATAATACGAGTTTTAAATTCTTATCTAGTCGACGCGCGTTATCTCGTTTGATTGCAAAGGTGTTCAATTTAACGACGTAATACGGCACGATAAGACAATAGTGTGTTGTGAGATATAGTTGTATTACATTGTGTCCATCCTCCAGCGTTGTACGATTGTTGTG